TTCGAGGTAGTCAATGAAAATCACGCCATGCGTATCAAAAAAAACTGACGCCATGACTTTGCCAGCTGACTGCTGCGTTTTCGGACGCTTCGGACGGCTTTCGCCAGCTGTGCGCCACTCAGATGACTGCCGCTTCGACTCTGGAGTGTAGTGATGTATCCATGTTTCGTCCATGGTCACGTAACGACGCAAGAAATCTTTTTTGTTGCGAGTAAATAGCGATAAACAGCTCTCTGAATCATCGACTCGTTGCTGTTTTTGTTCCATCGAAAGCAATCGCGGCACCCACTTGGAAAAAACCTTTTTCATGCTCAATTTTTCATGAAGGATAGTAAATACACTTCCATATGATATCTGTGTCATCTCAGCAATCTCACGGAGCTTCACTTTACGATCTTTCATTATAATTTTTGTCACTTCACTAACATTTTCCGGTGTAACGGCTTCCACAGGTCTACCCGAGCGTTTCGCGTCATTTGTGTCGGTACGACCACGTTTAAACTCGGCAAACCACCGACAAATCATTGCTTTTGATGGACAAGAGTCCGGGTAACATTTTTCAATCCATTGTTTCGCTTGCACGGTGTTTTTACCCATTAAAAAACAATGTTTTATCAGAACACGAAACTCGGTTTTTTCCATTTTTTAAACAAATTACAAAACAACTTTACTCCAACCTCGATAACTCAGCTGTTTCTAGTCCGATCGACTTAAAATTTTGACTCGTTTCAAGCAAAGGTTAGTACTCTAGAAAGACGTGGTTACTGATTTACTACGAGCACCATCTCTGGGTTAGTCTCGGGACTTATTGATCCATGTGATATTTTAAGACAACGTAAATCTTCACGAACTATTTATACTGCCAATTGTTTAGACAGGTTGCTAAACCATCGCCTACGCACGTAATACGCAGGATAAGTGTTCCTTTCAGTCCTAAATTAGCAGGAAAACAATGGAACATGGAATGGACCAACGAAGCTATAGATTTCTTTTAATAGGCTTCCGTTACACAAGATTCTACTTGATATAATCGTTAATTCTTACTCTTCAATTAACGAGAGCATTTGGTCTACACGTCAATTGTCATTATCATCGTCTTCGACAACCTCAATTGGCTTTCGGTTTTCGGATTTGCGTTCGTAAAGTTTCGACAACTTTCGGCTACTATCGGGACTACGACTCATGCGCGCCGGTTTCACGGATCTTAGTTGCACCTTACTACAATCACTTGTGACTTAACTAGAGCACTTATCCGATATTTTTTTGCAATATCGGTTTGTGTAAATCGTTTTGAACGGATCTGTCAATCTTGCTAACGTTGGCTCTTTTTAATTTAAGGATTAAATCTTGACTGCTTTTGATTTTAAGGGATTATAGTGAAAGTTGTTAATTTGTATTGACGTGATGATTATGTGCTGTAGATCAGATCTGACGTGATGATTCTGTTTGGTAAAAGTTTCTGGATCTGCTAATACGATTGTAATACATTTTATTAATCTCTACTGCATAGCCTGTAATGTTTAAGATCTACAAACTGTTGCAACTCCTTCAGGGTGTTATTTTTTTTGTAGAAAAAACTTTGCCTTGTACTTGGATTTTCTCCTGTGTCATAGGCGCATTTATAAATATACAAGTTCACATACACGTGACACCCAGACCCGGAACAATACTCTGTTGATCACACAAAGTGTTGTTCCGTGCGGGAATCAACCCCGCTACACGTTGCACGACAACCAGTTGACGAGGAACCGTGCCAACCGTGCAGTTTATATCTAGTTTTACCGAAGTCTTGTTTTATTGTGAAAACCAACACACATTTACCATATCAAGTTGAAATGAAATAAGTAAAATGAATACCTGTTCTCTTGCCAGCCCTAACGCAGGTCACCGTTGGCTGGAGTCAAACAGAGGTTAACCAATTGTTTGCCGGCTAATCATGTTTCAAACTAAGCTATTGGTTTAAACTTCGACAGCGTAATTTGAACTTAACTGTAAAATTGACGTGATAAACTTATTCGAGATAGTTACCATTCAGTTATTTGTTATTGTAAACAATAGAAAAGTTATTGAGGTTTTTGAGAAATATTTTTGTTAGGATCGTTTTGTTGATGAAAATCTGTTCTCGATACTAGATAAAGGAATTTAGTTTTCGCGAGTTTGTGTGTTTTTCTTTATTGTAAAAACGGTGGTCCATTTCCATTACTTTAAAGTCAAAGTTAAACTCTATGATGGAGAATGGGGAGATCGTAAACTCTAATGTCATCTAAGGAAAGAGGACGAAACGACCCCCTCTGTAGTTCGAAACTAGTAGAACTTTTCTCAGTATATTCACGTGAGTAACCCGCGATATTTAGTTAATTTAGTATGTTTCACGATAGTCATTCTAATGTCCTTTTACCAGCGTATTTTTACCACCTACTGGGGCAGTTGCACTGGCAATCACTCAATCAGTCTACATAAAATTACATAAATGTAAACCTAATTACAACTATAATGAAACAAGGGTAAATACATACTGTTCTACATTTAAATCTCGTTCGAGTTCCATATCGATTTGACCGAATGAATATTTAGTATCGATTTTATCAGAGTTAATTCGCTAAGCTTACGGTGCAGTAGCGAAAATTTATGTACACATGAAAACGACTATAAAAATCAATTGCAGTAATAAAGTTGGATCCTTTAATGCTTCTCGTTTGTATCGATAATCGTTTTTTTATTACGTTTACTTTGATATTCCTTGCGATATGATATGTGTGAGCAGTTGTGAAAAATTACGCAATTTTGTACTAATGTGAGGAATTTTGGAGTTTAATTACAATTACAATCTGCGTTATTTTTTCTGTTATGGCAATATAATCTATATGTATAAAAATGAAACGATTTCCCATTGTCACGCCATAACTAAAAACGGCTAAACCGAGTTAGCTGATTTTTTTTGTTGTGTTTGTTTAGGAGAAGGGAATGGGAGAAACGAAAATGTGCGTACAAAGTCCCGGACAGAAGCTTGTAATTAATAGTTAATACACTAATCTTATAAATAATAGGGAGAACCTTTTTGCTGACCAGAAATCCGAAAAATGGCAATGTTTGTTGGATGCAAAGCCTAATCTTTGCTAACTATGAGATGACTAGACCGATGATAATATCTTGCTAAACGAAATATAAAAATATATGTAAGAATGTGAGTCTGTATATCACTCTTGATTAATGACGTAAAATACGTAAAAACACGAATCCCCATAATCAAAAGAAATACCGTATTTTTAAATGACCTCAGTACCAATAATTTCAAGTCCTCTGAAATTTCACTGAGGCCCCCATTAATCATGTATAACAACAAAGCTCATTAAAGGTGCATTTGTAATTGTCAATTTCGGCACTGTTTTATACCGGTACTCACTAAACTGACCTGTCACTCACTACCTTATTATCAAGTTTATAAGAATCATTTTACAATGACCCAGTTTTGAGATTAAGGGTGTCGATGTCAAAGATGCAAGCAGTAGGTTCGCTAATTACAGCTTTATCATCAATCACTACAATGAATGGAGAAGGGAAGTGCAAGTTTTAAGAAAGGAGCGATCACTCAGCCCTCCCTGATATAAATAGAATCTTAAAGTCTGGGGGATTAAGTTGAAAATTCTAAATCAAATTATTCAATTAACTATAGCTTTGGTTGTCATGCTCATTTCTGAGACTTATTGTCATTGTAATGATACTGTCCGGCTCCATTGATTCTCCTTGGTGTTTTGAAACTCTGGATCTTGAATTTGGAACAAGGACATCGGGCATTCCATAGATTTAAAACGGACAGTACCAAAACAACGTCTGTTTTAATAAAACTGTTTGTTAAAATATTCCTTTCTCATGTCAGTTTTGATTGAATTACCTTTATTACCCATGTGAACTTTGCCTTTGTAAATTATAAACAAAAATATTAGCATGTAAATATTCATTATTTGTAGTGTATGTAAAAGTAGAACGTCAGCTTCAAAACTAGGTTAGGAGCATCGAAACTTCACCCATCGTAGATCTAAAAGTCAGCCTTGAGTCTTAGACAAAACTAAGTCAACAACCAATAAATAAAATTGTTTACAAATAATTCCGTTACCACGTAACCAATTTATAGTTCAGTGGGCGACCGAGACCGCAAACTGAATTATGCAATGGAAAAACCAATAACATACAACAATCAATTTGCATAGAAAAGTCACAGAAATCCTTCACACAATCCCCTATTACTATCGCACTAAGGCACACAATGTATTTAGCATCAATTTGAAAGATGAACATAATACGAGGCTACCTGACTTTTGTCAATTGTCCGTGTCAAATTGGTGTTCCAACAACGTGTTGTCACACAGTTCTTAATGCGGGGTACTGGGGTCGAAATTAGAATGTGCCGTCAGTAAATAAACTGTGGTATAAGTAGGTGTGGGTGGATGGGCGCCAGTGGGTGTGATAATTCGTCTTGCATACACAAAGAGTGCCGTGAGAGAATGATATTGCTCCCGAAAACGAACGTGTAGTGGTTTACATACGAATTAGAGGCGTGGGAGAGGTGAAAGGTCGGCAGGGAAACTTTTAGGACCCGATAACACCGTCCGAGTAAACTTTGAAGCACCGAGCGTCAAATTGGCTTGAGTAGAACTCTTATCGTGTTGTTGACTAAACGAAACAAACAGTTTTCCCGGCCCGAGTAATGGGACAGCCAACTCACATTTCAATGTTTGTTTGTAGAAAGTAGGCAATTATATAGTAGCGCCATTAAAATTATGTGACTTTTTATGGTTTTGCGCAGATTTAAGTACTTTTCAAAAGACATTTTGACGGGTAGTGAAATTGGAACGTCCTTTTGGAACGTCCTTTAGCAAGTTGATAAAGTTGTTCACCACAAATGTTCACAAATTACTAGTATGATGTAAAATTGATTATTTTCTTGTAAAAAAATTGTTGAAATTAGTTGGAAAATTAACAGGGTTCTTTCTTTTTTCCAGGCATACGAGCTGTCGACCCTGACAGGGACACAAGTGATGTTGCTAGTCGCGTCAGAGACAGGCCACGTGTATACGTTCGCGACGCGGAAGCTGCAGCCAATGATCACGTCAGACTCTGGCAAGCGGCTGATCCAGACGTGCCTTAACTCTCCAGACCCGCCCACCACCAGCGAGCAACGCATGGCTGCGACGGGCTACGAGGAAACAGAGCTCACGTATAACGTAGTAGACGAGGATATGAAGGTGAGGCAATTGGCGTACGCGGGCTCCGCGCAGTACCCGCTAGAACACCACCCCGGGCTGGCTCCGTCGCCGCTGCAGCAGTACCACCAGCACCCCCCCTGCCCTTCACCGTTACCCCTCAGCTCCCTTGGTCAGCCGTACTCGCACGCTCACCTCTCACATCCCCACATGTCCCATCACCCACAACGGTAGTTCCGATGGCACTTAGACTAAATCCCCAACATCGACGCGCCCAAGCGGCAGGTTACGACTGTTTAACGAGATAGTCACGTTCTAGATTAGCTTTTTAGATAAGAGAAAGAATAATATACAAGCAATAAACTGTTTTGTTAATATATTTTGTAAATATTTTGACGAGTAGATTGTTTTCGCTGATCACGTCGCTCCAGGTTTGAGTTACGGACGTGTTTATGAAAGTTTTGTTTTTTTGGTAATTTGAATAAAAATGTTCAGTGTGTTGGTGAGTGAACGTCTCACAACTGATTGCGAATCGGGATTGACACATTCATTCAGATCAATATGGATAAGAAGCACCGCGGACGCAAAAAATGAATTATCACGTGGTGGAATTTTACACTTCCGTTGACGGCGTCTGCATCATTCATCATGATTATTTCCATCTCGTTTATAAATAGATTTCTGTAATGTACACCTTATAAAATTTCTCCCTGGTCGGAGCTTAAAATTCAATTTAAATATGATGATTCAATTAAACCTACCGAAAATCCTATCAATGAAATTGATGATCAGAGCCGCATAGATGTCGAAATGGATAGATCGGTGTTCGGTAGCGAAATAATCTGATTTAAAATCGGTTTATAATTAACGCCACGGACCGGTTTATCTTTTAAAGTGACGACTCGGAAGTGGGAGCGGTCGCGCTACTATTGATTCATTATTGTGAATGAATCGGCCTTTCATTCTAGCTCTAACACAGTTCATGTATTCGGCGCGCCGCTTGATACTATTGATTATAGACCAAATCGTTGGTGATGCTTTAACGACCATTCCATTAGCATAAGAATATAGTAAACTTAAAAGCGCCAAAGAAAAAAGAACTGAAGTAGTAGACTGTAAAAGTATAGATGGCGGTGAATATTTATGAAATACCAAAGAAAAAGATACTAATAACAAAGTAGGCAGCAGGTGTTATTTGTAACTAGAGACAGTTTCCAATTATCAAGGGAGCGCGCTGTCGCCTCAGGTTCTAAGTCCACCCGGCCTCGTGATCCGGATTATCAAGAAACTTAATTGAAAATTACTTTCGGTGGTACCGCCAGTGATTATTATAAATTCTCCTGTCAAACTCGACGCCGGCCGTCGAGTTGCGGGGAAAATCAATCCCGAGTAACGCAGTAGCTTTCACGTGCCGACTCATGCACGTCAGTGTACTCTCTGTACACATCCAGCCGACATAACTCGCACACACGTGGGCTATATTCGAGTCCGATAACTATCGCGCCTAATTGTGTTCCGTATCGTCTTGTTCGCGCGAACGGTTAATCAATGAAGCCCGCGACTGATCAAATACAGCCAAATACGGCGCGTTCGACGCGTCAATTCATTCAACTGTTCGGATTCGATGCGATTCATCCATTAAGCTCTGAACACACCTTGCGCCGCTAATCGGACACTATTTATTCATCGATTTGTACCCAGTAGCTGCTCTCGCTGCCGTCGCGTCGATTGCACCCGACGATTAATTCTCGTACCTGATTTGCATATCGTTTTAATTTCGAACCCATCCGGCGCCCACTGAGCCTTCGCCCCCGACCTCGAATATCACTTGTCAGCTTCGATATGTTGAAATCGATTACATCGATTCGTTCGTTTCGCAGGCGGATCGATAAAAATCTCTCGTCTTCAGGTGGGTCGTTCTCACCGGGTCCACGTTTGACGTACGGAAATAATACGTCCGGACTGATATCCATCGTTATTGTTCGCGCATCATCGATAAGTCGAATCGATTGAAATATTCACGCGGTAATTACGATTCCCAGAGATAAGCGCGTCCCGCGACGAGCGAGCTTTGAGATCTCTATCGTGCAGTGTTCTATTCGCTGTACATGTTTTCGTGACTTTGTTATGTGTTGGACATACCGTATCTCGTTTATGTGTCTTAATATTCAAAGGCGGCATTTTTCTCTCCCGCTAGGAACAGTTTCACCTGTCATCACTGTGAAGTCGTTTACATAAATATAATTCTTTACGTATTCTCGGCGTGTAATATGCGTCGTCTGGTGTGTCTGTTCCGTGAATATAAACTGTATTAGCTGAGCGAGTGTTTGGCGTAACGCTGCTTCGTAGGATGCAGATGCTCTTGTGCATGAATTAGCGGTATAAATGTGGAAGTCGGTCAGTGCCCTCGCTCCGCCCGAATCCCCTAATCGAGAATACGCTTGTTTCGTAACATCTCGCGAACTCTTGAGTTTTCGCTTTCGGCGTGCGCGTGCTTTGTAACATTCCAGTGTCGAGGATTCTTTCTGTTTCGCATCACGTCCACATCTCCTGACCAAGGCTGGTAAAAAGCATAGTGGCGACTGTAGGAGTTGTCGACACGAATCGTAAATTGTTGATGTTTTTTAGTTGTACAACTTTTGTAGAATGAGCGCTTGAGGCGCGTTCCCAATAGCAGCAGTGAGTCACGCTTCCATAACGTATTCCGCGCGCGGCCCGCTCGAGACGCGTGGCGTCTATTCTCCACATCGCTCAGTAATCGCTCGTTAGGCGTCTCGCACCTCGCTTTATTAACTTATCAATACTATTGTTTTGATAAACGCTCGAGACGCAATTTCTGTTGACTCATCGTATTGTACCAGCTAATGTGCCTACATAATTGTATGAGTGTAAGCCGATTGGTCGCCTTGTGCAACTCAAAGGCAACAATAAAGCTAATTTGACTAATAGATGCCTTGTAATCATCGCCGCGTGTGGTTCTAGGATTACAAGCTCACGGCGCCGACTTTCTTCACTGTTTCGTATCATCGCTTAATGAACGTCGTTCTGTGTCTATTGTTTCAGTTTCAGCTTTATTTGTTCTCTTGTCGAGAGTCGATTCGACTGTCCGAAGACATACTTGTGTGTAACTTTTAGGGAAGCACGGACTATACACAAGGCGACTCGTGCCCGTGTCTCTGATGGTGCCATCATTAATTTATTATTCCTCGCGTGAACGCATCGCTGGTTCAATATTTTTAAAAAATTATTTAATGTTTGCAAAATTCACGTTAAATGATCGGTTCTCCCCTGTAATTAACCTGGTGCCGCCCGACCACCCGGTCTCAAGATCGATGGACTTACAGTCGATCAGCCATAAGGCTAATATTCGTAAACCGCCTTTACCGTGTCTCCACCCGACCGACAGATGAAGAGATCCGTCCAACGTGCAGCCTCGAACAGGAGGCATTCGCAATTTAGTGAAATTTCGACAAGAGCAATGGCCGTAATAAATACCATTTGCACCGTCATTTAGGTAATGGATCGTTGTATTAATCTGCGAGGAAAGTCGCCTGTCATCCGAAGGGATTCTGTGTCCACATAATATGAAGTAGGGAGTGTCGGCTGTTCAATATTTGGGCTGTGTGTTATTTCGAGAGGCACGGTTGGGCTTCTGGTTCAGTTATCCACATTCGCGGTACGTATTATTTTAGGAGTTGCGTTGGGCGAGCACTCCGTGCACTATTACGGCAGCCTGCGCCCGCGCCGCTCTGTTGCATAATTCAGACACGAGCCCCGCCGTTTGCATTCCGATACTTGATATGTGCTTTCACATGTATTTATGGACAAGATTTTGTGTCTCCGTAATGTTTGGCGAATAAATAAATTGTGTTTAAGGCATAAATACAATGGGCGAGCCGGCGGCTCCCCTCGTTACGTCGGCGAATGTAAAGTCCGAGTAGCTTCTTGTGTTGTCGACATGTCAGCCGCTGAGATATATCCGCGGGTCGCTTGATGCTCGCTTATTTCGTTGTTTAGGTGCTTCGTTACACCGCGGTTTATGTCGGCGCTTACAAATTGGCGAGCCGGGGCGCTCCAGCGTAGGGCGTCACAAATCCTCCGACGAAATTATGCCTCGACGTTTACATTGTACATCATTCTCGTGTGGCGACGTACCACTGACACGTTTATTAATTCCGCTCTCACATTTATTATCTCCACAACAAACAACCTGCCTGTTTTGATGGACGGCTTGTAGCAATAAATATCCTGTTTCTTTAAACTAACCGAACCAATAGCGATGACACTAGGTCCTTAAAGAGCTTCGTAATATATGTCATGCAAACATTCTGGTAGCCGGTGCCAGCTAATCCGAAGTAAACGTCATTATCTAGGAGCTACATCGGTTCTAACAATTCCGCTCACATCTCACTTACCGCAATTCTAATGATTTGCGGCGGAGGTCCCCCTTTGTATGCGTCGGACACGGTCATTCGTATGCACGCTGTTGCTCTGCTATCCCGGACTCCATCTCCGCAAGCTTCCGCGAGACGCTCCGATTGCTCTAATTGAAATTTATCCGTGCTCGCCGTGGTCCCGATTACCCCGAGCTAGCTTTTTAATTCCTTCGATTAATGAGTGCAGCCTGCATTGTCTTTCAGTTATGTATGCGTCCGATTATGCGATCTCGTTTACTGGATTGACGCGGGACGCGCCTCATCCATTATAGATTTAGCCGGGAGTGTATCGTCCGACTGGATATGCCAGACGTCTGTGTCATTTCGATAATTGGACCCTCGATTATATGCCACTTGCGCAATTTACAAACATCTGTGCTAGATCCTTTGATTGGCAGCTATTGCGTCATCTGGATTTATACAAGTCCAATTAAGTGTTTTGTTTTTAATTAAATACAATGTACTGTGGCTGGCTGGCCGCATTTACAAGCTTAAGCCGTTCATTGGCCCAATGGAATTAGTAGCAAAATTCAAACAATCTCGTTTACGTCACCGATGATGTTTGAAATGTACAGTCGGACGTTACGTACTGAGATCCGAGTCGATTAATTCGACGAATCTGAGTCGGCCCACTTCCTAAAACTAGACTGGGAGACGCAGATGGTTAAAATTAGGCCCGCGCCGAGAATAGCGTAAACTACGAACGCGGCGCGTCACCGCGCGAGCCGACCTGCTTTAGATATTGTGTTACAGTACATCAAATCAAATCGATTCTGTTTCTCAGCCATCACTCCTACT